CAAAGCTAACAATGAACCGTATGTTATACGGCGTGGAGAAATCTAAACATCAGCAACCCTAAATAAATGTCCGATTAGTATGCATACCGTGGCGACGAGCGCAGCCAAAAGCTAGCAGTGAAGCGATGGTGTAATTGTGTGAGCGGTAGTAATGGGCCGGGTTCGTTCGCCGATGAAAGCGAAAGTGGCCGCGTTCACTGGGACAACGACCGGGTCCCGCGCGGCCACCGGCCACCGGCCAGCCAGGCTGCTGCACCCGGCTCATCACCGGATACGTCACCGTTTGCGTATGCGCATCGTCTACCATACACTCGCCTTAAACTTTTATCTTACTAATATTATAAATGCGAAACTTTAGATGGATGGATAGATGTAGAGGATACGCTACTTATTTTTGTTTTTTTTAATCCTCGCGGACGGAGTCGAGGACGAAAGCTAGTCTTCCATAATACTTTATTGTACTAAGACGACAATGACTACTTGTTACGTCAACGTGAGATATGGTAATGAACAAATGAATATTCACCAACAAGCTTATAACCTTGTAGAGCTACGGTTACAGGTTATTGAACCTCTTGCTACAGAATTACTTACATAAAGCACCGTTTCTGAGTTATTACTCAAATTATATTTAACTAAAATAAATTTCTATCCCGCTGAAAACAAAGGAATAGGATCTTCCAATACAAATAAAATAATCTTCCAGGAACTAAATGTCCAATCGCTATTCATGATGTTTAGAACCAATTGTTGAGAATTAAAACGATTTATTCCAGGTTAGTTATCTTTTTATTCATCCCTTACTTAACAACAACACGTTCCCATGGTAACCGCTTACAGTTTTTATATCCAAAGAGTATCAAAATTATATAACATGTCACAAATTAAAAAGCTAATTATCAAAGAATATTTACAGTATATTTACACGTAACACTACCTTGGTATGTATTTGTAGATAATAATATAATCGAAACAATGTAAATCTACTTCGATACTCAGTGTACTGATTCCCGCCAGGAATTAGTGCGCTTATCCTTAATCCTGTTGACATTGAAAGATGTCATAGGGATGGAACGTGATTGTCAATTATTTAGTGTTGCACCGCTACTCCGGAACGGTACCGATTTCTTCTTAACATTATATGTATGTATAGGTACTATCAGTTTACGTTGAACTCATGTATGTCCGTAGAGGTATTACACATGTTACTATATACTTAATTTCCGTGCAATATTATAACTCATTGATATCTCAATAGGTTTATAACATAAAATGTATTTATCTCTGTAATTAATTTAGCGACATTTGGCAGTTTTTCAAGCTAGAGGTGCGGAAATGCGCATGCCCCTTGCGGTGATACTGTACCAAAAAACCAGTAATTTAGTGAGTTAAAATTTGCTTTAGCAGATAAAGTTATTTAATTCTCTTTTGACTTCGAAATCTGGTTAAAAGTGACTACTAAATAAAAAATGTATTACCGTCTTGAACACTGACATTTTAAATACGTAGTATGCAACTACTGTATATTAATGTTTAATTACTTTTAAAATATTCCATCTGACATTCTTTAATAATTAAGGTTATAACTTCTTGTGATATTACTAGCAACAATTGCATTTTATAAAATAGCTATACACTGAGGTGTAAAAGGAAGCAATGCAGCTAATTTCGAAGCCACTGGAAATAACAACAGGGGCAAGTAAAATCAATACTACACGCTGCGTTTCGCCTTGATCCAAACGTTGGCCATCTTTCTTACAAGCAACTTTAGTATGCAATATTTAACAGGCGCTGTTGTTTCAATTATTACATCGGTCAAATTGCTATTGAATTTCAATTAAAATTATTGTTTTATGTTAAAAGTAATGTATTTTTTCGAACATAAAAACATGTGACTATGTATGCCTTAGTGTAAATATAACAATTTAATAGAGCAACCATTATAATTTCCGATAAAAATTAATGTAGCACGTAGAAATAATTAAAAGTAGCCCAAGTATCTACTAAAAACATCATACTTGGTTCAGTAGTTTCAGAGTTTAAATAAAAACACTCAATAACTCAAATGATGGGGAAAGGTGTGGTAAACGCTTTGAACAATAGATAGTGTATTGTGATCAAAGGATAAATGCAACATAAAAATTCAATTTCCGAAGTGATCTGAATTGACTAAAATCAACGCTTATTATAAGTTGTTAAATCGATATAACTTGCAAAACTCGTTTAACATTTAGCGAAACAAGTTGTGATAAAAATCACCTTATTAGCGAGCGAAGGCACACATCTATATGTTATTGAGATTCTTATTCAGTCTCCTTTGTTATGAGTACAAAAATAGAATAGTCTCGTCGTGAATAGCTAGACAGGAAAATAAACAAAGGGAATTGTGATAGGGTAGTGACGCATTCGCGTTTGTCTATCGGAGCATCATTCAAATTTCCCTCGTGCCGCTGGAGCCGGCCAGTCTGCCGGCCGGCGTACAATCGTTATCGAGGCAAGTCGGGCCGCAGCTGCGGACATGCGCACTGGCGTCGCCCGAGCGAGACGCGGCCTGGAGGGAAGTGAGGAGGAGCGCAGCGAACGCTCGCCAGCGAGAGGCCGCCGCGCCGCACCGCCCGCAGTCCTCCCGCCGCGCCGCTCTGCGAGCGACACGCTAACCGCATCATGGTGAGTCATTACAAAGTGCGAATCTATTCGTTTATGACGACCTTTGCGATAATAAACTAATCTGAACGCAATCGCTCGCGGTGCTGTCCTGTAATGCGTATTGGATTACGCTTACCAATCATACATCCTAAGAAAAGCCTCCTCGTTTACCGTGAACGCTTAACCTAATTACTATGTCAACTGTGAATGCAAAATAAACTTTGCGACTAACGGAGCAGCATAAAAAACAAATATGACGACTGTATTAACCCACTCGGCATGTGACAATTTACAGGTGATGGACAACCGAATGCTCGAAGAAAATAAAAATGAAAACTCAGCAATATTTGTCACCAACTTTGAAAATCGAGATGTCATAAACTACTCGCTCGTTATCATCAAAGGAATTATAACATCGGGCGATTGCAGCAATCACAAGAAATTGAAGTGCACATTCAGAAACAATGATACACAAAAAAATACTCAATGGGATGTTTACAATAGGGAATTCAAGGTGTTGGTGGAGTTAAAGAAAGGAGACAATGTTATTGATCTGGAATATGCTGAACGGCATCACAAGACTCTAATTCTAAATTATACACCGCGGAAAACTAATCTCAGAGTAACTCCTTTATACATTGTTTGCCAAGGTCACGATGGTTGCTTTCAAAGTCCGGTTGATGTAGACAACTCAATTGAGAGTGGGTGCTCCCGAGTAGCAGTCGGCTCCAAATTAATTCAGAGTCTAACTGCAGAAAAATTGTATGAAAGTGGCGTGGGACGAAAGACATTTCAACTGGAACACGAAATTAACCCTAGGAAACCTGAATGTATAATATTTAAAAGTAATCTGAATGTAAACAAAGCGAGAAAGATGAAACAAGGAGAATTATGGACCCATTTTGGTAGAGAAATAATGCTCTCAGATTTAGGAAGTAATGAGAGAAAGTATTTAGCATTCGTTTCTTGTACACGATATAAAGGTACTGATATTGACAAACCAATGACACACGATGAAATCGTTGCACTGACCGAAGCCTATGCGGCTTTAGGTGGCGGTGGCTTGGCTCTTTTCGGCACTGCTTGTTTGTATACATGGCCCACGTGCGTTGAAGAAGTTTTACCAAAATTCTTAGACTGCACACCGGTAAATGTTCGTAGATTTATGGATGACAGTGGATACAGGAACACTTTAGGAGGATGTTTTGCGACCACTTTAGGATCTGTCTTCCATGAACTAGGACATACGTTTGATCTTGGGCATACCAAAGATGGTATAATGGGGAGAGGTTTTGACAATATAGACCGGGTGTTCTTAGTTGGAGAAAAAAGATCTACGTTAACAAAAGACAACATGAATAACTTTAACGGTAAGCCAGTACAACATTCCACAGTATCTCTGCAACGTAACATTAATGTTACGATGAATGTAGCGGAGCCCCTACGTGTATTAGGTCCACGAAGCAAAACAACCCTCGGAAACTTTGCGTCCATGTCAAAATCAGACATAGTAAGACGGAGTCCCAATGTTACGCCAATAACAAGACCATCCAGCCTGTACTCCAGTGTAACGAATAAGTTGTCCGAGTCACGCAAAAATATGAACAAATCCAATGGAAATGACTCTATTTATTGGACTCGAAATTGTGCAGTTTTACTGTCGTACCATAGATGGTTTAATAACGAATACGGCAGAGAAAGACAAGCTATAACTAGATATCTCAAATTTGATAAAAACAGGATGATGATAATATCTACAGCCGGCATAAGAATTGTTGAAGTCAGAGATGAATCAAATGGGATGGTCCTAGATTCGTATGAATTTACTAATCTTTTGCCAGAGAAACGATTTTTAGTGCCATTTACATTTTCGCCTAAAAGTAAAGTTTTAACAATTGTGGTGGAAGATGATCTGGGGAACGTGCTTAAACAAACATTTTCGTACTGAACTCTAAAAGTGGTAAAATGACAATAAAGTGGTAAATTAGCATCATAAAAATTATCACAAGTTTACTTTGACGTGTATCAGTGAAGAACTTCAATTTAATATTATCCATGGAAAATGTGTAACGCTTTCTAACTAACAAAACAATTTAGTTTGTTAACACAATATTTAATTGAAGTTGCGTATTTTGCTGTGCTAAAATATTGCAGTATTAATTTACATATAAACATAAATTTTGTAATAGGAGTATCGTTTAAGACATTAATTCGTTCAATGTTTGCATTAATTTAAATGTAAACAAATGTTAGTTAAGTATCCATAATATTTTTATTATATTACTATATTAGCTTCATAACTTGCAAATTATCTTTACAAAAAGTAGAAACCATGAATTTGTATCTGGCAACATTATAATAAAAATTGACAGCTAAAGAAAATTGGAACTGGAAATTGAAAATGATTTTGACATTGACAAGAAAAACTGAAATGTTTATTTATATTTCAGTTACAGACTGGTTCTAAAGTAGTATGTAATTATTTACGTTTCAGTTCCAAAATTTTCTTCAAAAATTTGCTGTAATTTATACGAAAGGAGTGAAAAAATCAACTGAGAGTTAATTCAGACTAATTTATATTTATCATAAATATTTAAACTTAAATGGCTGCTCCTGTTGTGCCTAATAAGTTTATTCTTGAAGAAATCAATTATTTCCCATCAGTGACAAACGGAAGATTAAATTTTATAGAATTTATAAAAGCATCATCGGATCTTTTAATTTTAATTGGTATGTTAATTATATCTTGATATTTATATGTTTTAATTGTATAATAGATGTAAATAACAAGCGCTATTGCAGATCGGCTTGGAAAAATATTTACTCCAGTAAAGCATGACATACAAGGAAATATTGATGTGAGTATTATTTAATATAAACACTCATGTTTGCTATTGTTATAGTAAATTCTTTTTTAAATAACATGCCTGGTTTGCACTTGGATATTACAACTGGACAGTAGAGCAGGAATGGATAGTATTCACATTATGCCAGTGGAATGCCAGTTCAAGTACTGAGCATTACTGTCCAATTATTATGATTTATTTAAGTTTCAGTCATATTATGCTAATTTCATGTTACACTTTTGTTTTCAGAAAATAAAAAAATATTACAAATATGATGAGAACTCCTGTTTGCTTGAATTAATGCTTGAAGAGGTAAAAAATGGGAAACCTATGGGAGCAGAAGGTGTTCTATGGCTTAACAGGTACAAATGTGTTTTAACTTAGTCATTTACACTGTTTAGATAGTCATTTCCTTCAGTTTTATTATGAAATGTGAGGAGAAAATGTTTCGACAAGGTGATATGCTATCAGATAAAATAACTTTTGTAGTCCAATGAGAAATGGATTTCACAAATGAATGTGTATAATTTAATGAGTAACATTTTTTAGATAAGATTTGATAATTGATAGGTATTAAATAAAAACATTAAATTTATGTTACGATTTTTTTCAGGGCTTTATTATTTTTTGAGCTGACTTTTCATGGAATCTTGGCTAACTTAAAAACAGAGCCGAATGAAGTTAACATGAAGAAAGTATATATATCAGCTTATGAAGGTTCTGTTAAGAAATATCATGGTTGGGTGACACAACAACTCTTTAATGTAAGCATATACAGTGTTTTTTTTACTTTTCAAGTTTATTGCAAGACTAGCTTTTGGTCATTACTCTGTTCGCCATGGAATTAAAACAAAAGTAGCCTGTGACTGTTTAATATTTAAAGCTACCTTCTAAACATCCATCCATACATTTAAATTTAAAGTTCAAACTTTTTCATTTGAGTCTTACTCTCACACAGACTATTTCTATATGTATTGTAAAAGTCATACATAACTAAATGTCCACCACATTTGTCTATATATTATTATATAAGCAGTATCATAAAAAAATTTAATACCTTTTTAGTCATGTTCCGCAATCACGGATATTGATTATTGAAGTATTTGTTACTGATTGTGTAATACATAATGTAATTATCTTTGTTTTCAGACAATGTGCAAGATGGCGCCGACATTGCCGCAAATTTTAAAATCATTCGAAATTGAAAATAATATTAACGCCTTTGAGTCAAGATTGTCCAATTTTAATGAAGCCTTACATTTAGTAAGATGGGAAATTGACAAGTTTTTTGAAAATAATAATTTATTTACAAATAATTTTGTTCCATAATACAAAGTATTACACCAAAAAATTATGTGATTAGGAAAATAATTTGCCTAAGATTCTACCATAGGTGCTGTGTTTAATTACTTAAGGGGGCTACTAAAGTATTAAAAATTGTCAAGTATTTATTAGCTATATAGAAATTATAATTTTATATTCATGTATAAAAACACATAAGAAAATCAAAATTCTACTCCAAAATTAGCAATTAGTACGTTAAGATTATATTGATAATGTCCCTAATAAGTTTATACTATTAAAATTCATTAAAAAGCCTTAATTACATGTTGGAACACATCACAAAATGAAACTTGAAGTACTAAATTACAAAAAAATATATTTTACCATGAAATTATATTTGATACTGGCACATTAGACTAAGTTACCGACCCTAGATATGAGGTGCTCTGATAAAATATTGTTAGTCTATGTCCATGTTTAGAATATGTAATACAAACCACAGATATATATAAATAGATAGCACTATTTTTTATGTGACAATAACATGTTCAGTGACCGTGTCAATTGTTTTGTTTTTAATTTGCAAATGTGTAGTTTATAGTCCACATAAAACCGACTACAGTTTTAGCAATTTAAACTGAGCAGTCGAACTGTACAATTATTACTAAAGGTGTGTAGCTTAATGAATTCTTTATGCCTGTAACAAATATATTAAGGTATTTAAAACAATTTGTTTTATTAAAATAGTTATTTATTACTGAATGTATATGGTTTTATATGCTGACGTATTTAAAAAATCAATGAATTCTTAAGCATATTGTGTTACCTTAATTTTAATATTTCACCTGTCTTGTATGTGACAAATAAATGCTTTTAGCGACCGATGATGCGTGTTTTAAAGCTAAAAATCCAAATATAACTTCCAGTACAGTTATCAACCACAAAGCTATATGTAACACATATTCTGTATGCGTACTTAAGAGATATGGATTAAATAGAAAAAACGAAACAAGAGGCATTTGCATTAATATAGTAAGCATTAGAAATCCTGCTAACTCAGGCACCTGAAACAAATTAACAGCCATAAAATCCATAAAAAAAGTAAAAAAGCACACAATACTTCTGTGCATGTAAAGGATAGTTAACCAATATTAATAGAACTTTACATTACTTAACAGTTGGGGTTATTGATAGACTCTGGATTGGGATAATCCTATACATGCCTATGTTTTGCAAACTATTAAAGGAGATATTAAATTACTATTAATAGAGACTTACTCTGGATGATAAATTCCCATAATTAGCCAAATACAGCCTAGTCACTTCTATTATAAACAGCAACACAAATACTGTGAACGATAAGTATTTTGAGAGATGATCCAACTGATCCAGCTAAAATGGAAGGAACATTTCATTATTCTGAGGAAATGTTAACCGTTTAATTCCCTTTTTCGGAGAATGAAATTAAGACTAAAGCAAAGCCATTGGATATAGGGCTCAGTCTTACTTTAGATATATCTTAAAGTTTTATTTCATCTATTTACCTTGACATAAAGGAAGAATATTATAACAATAAACCATATAGCATAAATATATTGATTAAAATATAAACATTTCTGTAATCGAATCATTGGCCGATATTCCATTTAATCTTAATTACAAGATTCTATTTAATCAGAAAAGTTATAATAAATCAAAATAAAAAATCCTGTGTGATGAGTAGTAAATAGTAATCAGTAACCATGGTAACCGATGATGCCAAAGAATAACTAACTTATCGCCAGTTGTCAAATCTCATCAACGCCAGACTGAAAATTACTAAAACAATTTGAGAAACTGCCTCTCTTTTGTAAGTAATCTTACCCTAATTTGAGAGAGCAATGTCACTATACGTTCAACGTAAGTTTCTTTTTGTATTCCTTTAATTTTAAATACATTGTCTGTAAAACTGGTTGACATATGTCACTGTCACAATTAATAAATCTGTAACTGTCAATTCAGTGCTTAACCTATAAATTCGTTCTTCAATTTAAATAAAATAATTTTTCGTAAGAATAATCAATAAATATGTTAATCCGAACCATAAAACAATCATTGGGTAAGTATCTTGTTTCAAAGCCAATTGTGGCTAAAAAGCACTTCATAATGTTACATATCAATGTTTTTAGTTTCAAAACTCAAATCTTTAATTTCCATCTAATTACAATTTAAATATATAGTTTGTTAAAAATATATTACTTGTCTAATAAATTAACCTTTTGTACTCAAATCTTTGCAGGGTTTTTGCGACCGGAATGCATTCAAGTGACATGCAATGCTGGAATAAAATATTTTCCTCCACCGAAAAATTATGATCGTAAGTTGTTTTTGGTATTACAATCTAATAAGTAAATAAGTATACGTTATAATAATAGAGTTACGGTTGTAATGGGTTGATGGCAATTTGTAATGTAGTAAAATTAAAACATGTACTACTTTGACTTGAAACATACAAGGTGGGCAGTGTGACAAAGGGCTTGAGAAGATAATGGCTATCATATAGGATGAAAAAACTCGAGTGCTCTCCTTCATATCAATAGTGTCTCATGATTCATTGTATTTTATTAAGTAGTCATTGGAGGATGTCATATACATTAAATGTATACCATTTTTTTTAATGCAATTGTTGCTATATAATTATTTGTTATCAGTGTTTACAACCTTACAAGTAAACCAGTTTAAGAACAAGACAAGTTCACATTTTATTTATATTAAAATTCTGTTTAGTTATTTGCCTTTTAACAATATTTCAGACATTGAAATACCAGAGCGGCCAAGACTGCGTATGTTTGAAAAGGTCCCACAATATCCTTCAAACTTGAAACCCCCGAAGATGCAAAAAAGATTAAGATATATGAGAGGTCCAGAACTGTTGCATAACAAACTTCAATTGAAACAATATGGGGTTGTGGTAAGTTATTTTGACAAATCATTTACACTAAAACTCTGAAGTCTGAAATGTTTTTGGTAAAAACATACATCAAAAATCCTTATTTTACAATATCATCATCATTTTCACAATTTTCATAAAAAACTAAACAATTAAAATATTAATTTAGATAGATATTTTACAGCCTATGGAAAATTAATGAAATTTGGCATAAATATAGTGAAAACACTGCATAACATGTAGGCTACTTACATTTTATTACACACAAAAGGAGTTGCGATTGAATGTTAACTGAAAAGAACAGAAGTGTTAAAAAGTAGTTTTATGTATCATAACATGTTTACAGGCATTAGGTGGTGGAAGATTAGCACATGAACATTTTGAGATGGCCCGTTTGGTTATAGCCCGTCATTTAGATATGAAGAGAATGTTTGCCATCTGGAGAGTGGATCCTCCGTGGCAGCCTGTTACAAAGAAGGGCCAAGGTCAACGTATGGGCGGAGGCAAAGGAGCAATCGACCATTACGTCACGCCTATCAAAGCTGGCAGAATTATACTTGAAGTTGGAGGCAAATGTGAATATGCGGAGGTTTGTAAAATTTATAAGTACTAGAAAATTTTAGTTACATCAAATAATTATTTTTCTCGCATGTTATAGTGTAGATCCTCGCCATAAAGTGGAAAAACATGAAACTAAGTATATTTTAAATTTTGCATAAATTAGAAAAGTGACAATAAAGGTGTTTTCAATTAAAGTAACTAAGAGTTATGGTTTTTGTTTTCTTTCTAGCGAATTGGTTCAAATGTCATTAAAAATAGGAAAAAACCATAGCCTATGTTACTCAATGATAACCTAGCTTTTTAATGGTGAATGATTTTTCAGAATAGCCCTAGTAGTTTTTGTGTTATTTCAATAGATACAAAAATACAAATTAGTACAATATTAGTATAGATTTGGTTATAGTTGTACTAAATGTTGCATGCGAACATAGATGGCGCCACTAGTTTCAACTTCTTATTTTCAGGCACGCCATATGTTAAAAATCGTAGCTGAAAGACTTCCATTTAAAGCGAAAGCTGTATCACAAGAGATCATGGAAAAAGAAGAGCAGGAAGAGAAATGGAAAGAAGAAAACAATAAGAATCCATACACAATGAAATACATTATCCAAAACAACATGGGCGGATGCCACAAAATGCTGTCACCCTTCGATCATAAATGGCATGGAAAATATCTATAACAACTCTATTGTAAAGATTGTAGTAGTTTAATATGTAATATAATGAAATTATCGATTATTATGTCGATTTTTTTTTATTGCCTTGAATTCCAATCTGACATGATATATTACAAATGCATACTTATACGTCAATTATGTGAGATCTTCTCCCAACAAACATTTGAAGTTAGAATTTAACCATATTCTGTCAATAATTTAGCTGCTAAAACATCATCAATCAAAATCTTATTTCAACAACAATTTAAGTATATCATTTCTAATGATCTAATTATTATCTTCAGATAACTAATCTGCAACAAAAAAGTGAGGCTAAAAAGCCCTCCCGGCCGATAGTAGTCATTAATTCTCTCGGTGTTGCCATTTACGATAGATAGTCAAATTTCTTGTGCTTGTATGAAATACTACATCTAAAGATTGTATAATCTATGGGTCAGATATTGTGATTTGGGGCAGGGATTTTAAATAAAACGCTTATTAATATTGATATTTATTATATTTGACATTTTATGAAAGGATCGTGACAAGCCTCAGTTTGCATACATTTATAAATCTGTAGCATTAATAAACTTCTCTTTTAATATATTATTGAAACAAATCAACAAAAACAAATGTACCAGTAACAAATTCTACAGCATAATGTACTTCCAGAGTCGTGACTAACCTAACGACGAAAGCCAAACACACTATCTCAATTATCATAGAGAATTCGAATTGTTTTGTTAAAATGTAATTTTCCACTGCGCTAACACTTGTATTAACATATCGTCTGTTTTTTTTTCAAAAAGAAGGAAAGGGATGACAATATGTTGTAAAGTGACAGTAACATTGAACATGCTCAACATCTAGCTAAATTATAATTAATATTTTTTGAATTGATTCGTTAACGTTACTAATACGGTCACATTAAATACACAAATACATTAAAACATTGACTAAAGTGAAGTACATAACCTTAAATTTTACACACCGAAATTAGAAAGAGACATACAGATATTATTGTAGAGCATCTTCTCAGTCACTCAAGGAAATGTGACAAACTTTACTGGGTCTAGTATGACCAATATTTCTTTCTAAATTGCGGCGTGTTTTCTAGGTGTTACTTGTAACAGACAATTTTACATTCCGAGTGCATTACTACGCTGTTTATAGAATGTCAAGCAACTCTACTAAAAATATTCTCTATTCCCGCGTCGCCTTCAGATGAATACCTATAAATTATATAACGTCATAACAATATTTACAAAGCCTAAGGAGCTATCTTACCAATATGCAATTTACATTCTCAATAAATTAATATTAAGTGTTTACATGTTATAATACAAGCGCTAGGTCTCATGATATGGCATTTTAATTTATAAAATAGACCGCATATAAAATCAATCCCTAGCAGTCATATCACAAGTCCATAATACCGGATTTAGACAATTGACAAAGCTTTAAATATGAGACAAATAGATAAAATTGTCCATAGAGTTGGTAAACTAGACCTAGACTCTATTATATTAATACACATATAAAGAGAGGCGGTGGTAATCACGAAGGAATGTTTTCAAGCCGTAAGCTTAATATTCGATATCAGATTATGTGAGACTCGCATCAAGACTTGAGCAAATGAAATAGCTCGCGGTTAATATATTTGACTAGTTCTGTCTTAAGCTATGAATTAACTACGAATAACATCCTAAGCACTGGCTTCATGCAGTCTTTATATCTATTTCATTCTTTTATTCAATGTATGAGAAGAGGAATAAAATTAAATAAATGTAGTAAACGCATAGATATAAGAAAGATTTACAATTTCAATTAGAATATATCCTCGGAAATACGAGTATCGGCTAAGCTCTAATTTAAGACATACATATATAAGTGAGGTAGCGTTTTTACCATTACTAGAGAAAACATATGTACAGGGTGTTGGAAAATGCAAGATTTATATTTGGTATGGAAATAGCGACAACAGTTAAGGCTCGCGCTCGTAGGTAGGTATAATGTGGATATTACTTAATTAGCCCGTTCAATAAGTTATATTAACATACAGACAAAACAACGCGTGTATACAATTACCTTATATTAATTTTTGTATTGACATAATTACGAGTATTATTTAACTACACACAATAAGTCATTAAATACATCATAAATAATGTGCAGCTTTGTAGATGACTAGATTAAATACGTTTAACGCTATCTAAGTATAAAACAGTTTACATTTTAGTATAGTTTTCGATTTCGATCACTGCAAGGATCCATGTCGACACATATTGTACGGAGGATAATACGTTGACAGCACTCATTCGTAGGCCTCGCTCAGGTGATCGAGCAAAAATTTCAATTGTCGTTTCATGAAATTATTTTTGTGAGCGATAGAGTCGCATAGCATTTGTGTGGGCGCGACTCTGCGGCCGTCAACGTCCTCGTAGAGGGGCGCGAGAGGCGCGAGGGGCGCGAGGGGCGAGAGCGCCGGCGCGTTGTTGTTGAGCGCGTCAACGGTACTATCCCCCGAGTCGCGCGCCGCCGCGCACGCATCGTATACCTCGATCGGAGAAGCTTTCACGACATGCTGATATTTAAACGTAGACAATATCTGCCGGATCTTTGCAATGATCTGCTCTACTCAGGCGTTCGATTCCTGCGAAAGATTTTTAAATAAATCAGATATTTGCCGCTATATCTATTTGTTATGTTACAGGTTTAGTGAAATCCACACTCTACTGTCTAGTCTAGTGATCGGTTAGCTGGTGTCTACGTTAATGATTAATTTAATGGATGGTTTGCTTTTTGTTAGTACGCGACTCGACAGGCGCGCGAAACGTACGGGACTACGAGCTACCTACCTATAGAATTATAATACTGCATGGCGTTATAATGTATATAAACGTATAAAACGTACTTATATAAAATACTATGCTAATATAATTTTAAATGCATCAAAATGTCAGGCGTATCGTTCATAAGAGAGTACATTAAACATCGAGATGGCTAAGAAGGGCTAGATACGATGAGGCGGGCGGGGCGGCGGGGCGGTGCGGCCC